TCTCTCCCAGATTTGTTTTGCTTTCAAAATAAACAATTTCTAGAACCCTGTTTCGAGATGCTCACGATAATTAGCTGTTGCCATTTAGGTAGTAAGCGAGTGAGAAAAACAACGGCTAGTCAGCTGGTACGGGATTTAAAATATGTTGTGGGGAGAAAAAGAAAGTCTCCCTTCGCAAGATCCTTCGAGTTCCCTTTGCAGAATGTAAGAGTGGGCGGTCGCGAGGCCAAAATACCCATACTTTGCAAGTTCAGCAGCACGTCTGAGCAATGGCAAGCCGTACTGCGGCCGAGTCGACGGTAGTGCTACTATTCAGAAGCTCCGCTGGGGCACGCCTCCAATATTTCACCGAACAGTGAACAGGACCTTCTTTGCAGGAAACTCTCTTGGTGTAGCTAGTCTTAGCTAGAGATATTCACCTGCCTACTGATACTTTTCGGGTTGTTTATATAGACTACCTACTTCCCCCCATTGGCGTACACTTCTCAGCTTGTATAACTTTTCAACGGCTTGAAGAGATATAAAGAGTAATAATCCAAATGTAAGCTCGGAATTTGTAATCGAACCACGGTCCCCAAGGCTATAGTCCGCTTTGCGGAGTAGCTGAACACGACTGGTCCTTCGCCAGAGATAGATAGAGCATATAAAATAGACGTTGATGAATGTGGGGTCGAAGTGAACGGCATAACTGCGAGCTAGAAATAAGCACACTACATCGCATTGAGTCAACCAATTGCACCTCAGATTTTCGATTTTAGTCTATGTTTTTTTGCTACAGCTGTACTTAGGAACCTCTTCTGCTGTCTATCTTAGAATACTGACGCCAACGGACTTGAGATACCGTATGGACGTGGATGCCAAGCTAATGAGCCCCACAACCTTACACACATAAGTCGAGGACCAACCCGCTAACAGTTATAACTTGGTTAGATGCATCAGATTCAGATTGAAATACATCAAAAATTTTTTAGGGAGAAAATGATTGTGATGTCCCAATGACTCAAAAAACAAAATGGACACTACCGCGTAAAAACCAAACCAAGAAATGAGTTCATCTTGTTGTTCTATGTTTAGTCATGTATCAACTCACCATTGCTGACATATTCGGCGCCAGCTGACATTCGCCTTCTACTCACATTACTTTACATCGTATCTATTCTTCGTTGACCAATAGATACCGCTTCGTGAAGGTTCGTTAACGACTCTGACGACTCATACTGACGCCGCGTAAATGAGCCATCTGTGGCGACGTCTGGCTCTTCAGTTTTTGCAGCAATTTTCCAAAGAAATATTGCGCCCCAAAATGCTATATTGATCTATTCAAACAAAGGCAATGACCACTACTCAAAAAATGACGCTCAAAATGAAACTCATGGGAAATAAAAAAAATAGGAATAAATGAACAGAATGAAAAAATAGAAATAGGTTTTTTTCTTGTGGCCAAGTAGCTTCACCATTTCGGAACGGGAGATGAATTGGAAAAAATCTGCTCAACCCACCGCTCCTGATTTAGGATAGCTGTTGTTTTGAAAGATCTTTCAAAAATTCAGCTAATTTGGCATTTTTCGATTAAACTTGAAATCTCTCTTCTGAATCAAACCTAGTCCTATGGAAATCTACTTCTCTGGCATCTCTGGCTCCAAAATTTAGTAACTCACTTGTAGTATTTCCATTCAATCCGCTGTGCAAAGAGAGGTAGACTATGGCAAGAATACCATTGGCAGCTCGGATGCAATGCCTCGAAAGTGTGAAGAATAAACACAGCAATGGCGTAAGCCCAAGTTTGCGTCCTGTTTTAAAACAGACATTCTACACTCAACACTTTCATAAACAAGGTTTTTCTAATGAATGTTGACCGCTCTTACAAGTGTATATCATTTGAGCATATGACTATTGTTTTTGGCCAGATTAACCTTTCTTACAGCCCGGCTAGTCTCAATCCTGCCACCAAGATTTCGAGTTCAGAACCCAAAATAATGTTTGTTTACCTCTAATGTGCCTTCGTGCACGTAGTTTCCATTACCACTATCTCAAATACTACTCCAGATCATATCAGTGCTGCTTCCTAAGTAACTAAAGCCAAAAGTGAATTGGGAAAAGACAGCTGTCAACAAACAGTTGACAGTGAAAACACAACCGTAAGATTTTTGAAAAAACTCGGTCAAGAATAACTGAAAGATGTGAAATCTTGAGATCTTCACCTTTCAAACAATTCAGGAACGCCTCTGTAGACCAAGATAATCATTTGTTTTCAACAATTACGATACTTACTTTCACTCATCTGATATAAGTGCGCAATCTTTGACAAGTTCCGCTATTTTCACTCGCACGTCATACCATCAAGTAATCTTCACAGCTTAGCCATATGACCTTCTCTGCTCATTACGCATTTCCTGTAAGCACTTTCGATTAGAACGTTCTAGAGCTTTGGTCGATCAGTTATATGACGGTTTGCCCATTTATAGCCCTACAGAATACTAATCCGAATTAACCTCATTGGCCGTGATCGTTGATCCCCCGATAGGAGTCGTGCACCAGTAGCACCATAGATGAATAGAACTTGCATATTAAATCAGGGAACGCCGGGATTCCTTTCATGTTTCTGGACCCTAAAACGAAAAATCCATTGAATTAGACAGAAACATAATTTTTTGAAAATTCTGGAACGGCTCTTTTTCACCTGACCATGAGGGACTTTTGTTCATCTAGTCTTCAAAAATTAAACCTGCTAGTAGCAGAGTCCGACGGTATTTCAATCAGTGAACAGAATTGCCTGTTACGCCCGTAAGTTACCTTACGAGGATTCCAATTCTCATAGCTAGTGTAACAGCGAAAGAAAGAAGTTAAACACTTCCTAATTGGTTAGGTTTTGAATAGAGAACCTAAGGCCTAGAACTAAATTGTAACAACGCTCAGTACTAATAGGAAGATATGAGCCTTGTTTTCACATACGAAAAAACAGAGCGCATCGAGAAATTTATTGGCTTTAAAAACTTTGACGTTGAAAACCTCGTATTTGAGAAAGATAAGTACAGAGACATGAGAGAAGATAATTACTTTTACCAATAGAAAATCTCAAATACACCTCAAATACAGTTTTCAGGAATGGGAAAATTCGCGAAGATGACGAAGAACTTTTACTGAAGTAAAAGCACTATTACTCTATAAAAATTGATATCGTGCACATTAGACGAAAGCGTTCGTGTTCGATTTAACGAGTCATCACAAAGTTAGCAGAAGGCACGAGTCCTAAATAAAAAAAAATTCGCACACTCACTTTGACCAGCCTACTATCACGAAAGCAAGTAAATCCAAATAAAAAAAATTATAAAAGTAAAATTGCGCACCGAGTTCCTTCAATGGTTTGTCATAATCTTCGTCAGTCATTAATTT